GGGTCCATATTTTGTTAGGACCTGCCCTGAACTTACCGTGAATTGTACCCATAATATACATCCCATTATTATAACCCACGGTGTATACTACAATTAGAGACCCTATTTACTATCATGAAATGCGATATTAAATATAGGCCTCAAATCATAGGACACTATATGCACATGTCTATTTATCAACAATCCCATCGTTTTGTATCACATACCTATAGTCTTGAGTCATATATTGTGAGACTTACAATATAAAGTCATTGTTCTAAACACATTGAAGTTTGTACATGTACACATGTCGGGATTACACGACATTTGATTATTACTATTAACCGATTGTTGGTATTTGAATATAGTGATGACATGTATTCACTGTAATACAATTAGGGAATCAAAGTCATTACTAGACAATAAAGTATCCCTATTAAATCGTGTATATTGATAGTATACACTTAAATATCATCCGTGAAATATGTAATTATATCAGTCTTAAAGAATTTAAGTGTACAATGATAAACTGTATTACTGATCATTCCTTATCATGTATACAAGTCATATACGATATTTAATAGACTATGAGTTTGTTAGTCATAGATATTGTCATAATTAAGTCAAAGAATTCTTAGGGGAAATGTATTATATCTTGTTCCTGGTTTTGTATTTAAAATATGAAATTGAAAATACCGGCAAATATGCTACACAATATTGAGTAAGTATTATTATTATTATTATTATTATTATTATTATTATTATTATTATTAAAAATGTGTACAAATTTATGATAAAACATGATACTCCATATTTATAAAAATGTGACCTTTTAATATAGTGACAATAATAGTTACTTTAATCATAATAACATATATTCAATTTTGATCATGATATTCTATTTGTCATATTTATCAGGAATCTGAAAATAACTGCGCAGTTAGAAGCGCAGTTATCTTCAAGATTTCATTTGAATGCCTTCCCGATTGAAGTTTTAGCTGAAATTTGGTATGAGCAAACTAGACTTGATGAATAAGATGCTCAAAAAATTTCATCAAAAAAATTCACCGGGAACCACCCCAAATGACGACGGCCGGACGGAACTTCCTAAATAAGGGCTTATTTGACCTTTTTGTGTTAGTACATGGGCCTATTTACACCTTTTCCCTTTGTATAATCAAAATCGGACTTGTTACCTATATAATCAGTGGCGGACCCACTAGGGGTCCCACGGGGTCCCGGGACCACGTGCACTTCCAAAATGTTATCTATATATATCATATATATCTTTGACAAAATTAATTAATAAAGGTATATATATAACAAAGGTGACTTGGGAACCAAAGGACAGGCAGTAGAATGGGAGTTCTATAAAGTATGAGTTCGGTATCTCAGATTGGACACACTAGTTAATCAAATTGTATCCCATAATACAACACTCGTCATGAGGCTTACCCGGAGTTCATATCTTATCATATTTAGGTTATAAATAATTAATATCACAATGGCATATAATTAACATAAGTAATACCATGATGTGAGATAACAATTGTGAATTAGTATATCACGGTATTTCTATAGGGGAACCCATTTCAATTCAAGTGCATGGGTTATATCTCATATATTGAACGTATGATTAGTAAAACGTGTCATTTAATAATGATCATCCACTTATACTTAATACAACTCATCGGATTTATATTATAGGATGGTGACAACACTACAAAAAAAGCAGGATTGGCACGGATTTTGGCACGGACTTATCAATTTTTCGTGCCAAATAGCTCGTGCCAAAGTGTTTTTGGCACGGATTTGGCGTATCCCTGCCAAAATCCTGATAAATTTAATAGTGACTAATTAGATAAATGTATGTGAGCTATTTGGTATGAAAATGTAAAACTCTCACTTGCTTCTTTATTGAGTATACGTAACATATATATATATATATATATATATATATATATATATATATATATATTACATTTGGTGCATGCATGCATGATGAGAAGACAAATACAAATGCATGTGGAAGACATTTACATGTGCTGCATGAATGCATGATGGGGTATGTGGCATGTGATATTCACGTTGGAGTGATAGGAGGTCACATTAGGGGTCAATACAAATAATAAATATATTAACATCTTCAATACTCCCCCTCAAGTTGGAGTGTGAAGGTTACGAACACCCAACTTGCTCCGAAGAAATTGAAAACGATCTGTGCCCAATGCCTTGGTAAAAATATCTGCTACTTGTGCTTCAGTGGAAATGGGACGCGGCTGGATTTCTTGACTAGATACTCACTCTCTTACAAAGTGACAATCCATCTCTACATGTTTGGTGCGTTCATGGAACACCGGATTAAGCGCTATGTGTCGGGCTGCTTGATTATCACAATAAAGAGGAGTCGGACCAATCTGGTTAACCGTAAGGTCTCGAAGTAGCCATCGTAGCCATAATATCTCACTAACTGTGAGGGCCATAGCGCGGTATTCAGCTTCTGCAGAAGAGCGGGAAACAACAGATTGCTTCTTTGTACGCCAGGATATTGGTGAGTCACCAATGGTAATAAAGTATCCAGTACTAGAACGGCGGGTGAAAGGGGATCCCGCCCAATCGGAATCACAATATCCTTTTAAGACAACATCGTCATCGGATGATAATAAAATTCCTTGTCCAGGCGTCTGTTTCAAATATCGTAGAACACGAATAGCTGCATCTAGATGTGTCTGGCGGGGGCTGCTGAGAAATTGACTGAGCTGACTTACAGAGTAAACAATGTCAGGCCGGGTGACCGTGAGATACTGTAAACGACCAATTAGGCGTCGATAGGAGGAAGCATTTACGAGTGGGCTGTCATCATTGGGACGGAGCCTTAAATTTTGCTCCATAGGGAATGGACTGGGACGTCCTGCCAATAAGCCACTTTCTTCTAAGATGTCAAGGGTATATTTTCGTTGACTCAAAACGAAACCCTCGGGAGATCGAGCAACTTCTATGCCAAGAAAATATTTTAATTTTCCCAAGTCTTTAATGCTAAAAAGGGTGTCCAAGTAACTCTTGACTGTTGAGATATGAGAGGTATTATTCCCTGCTAGAATTACATCATCAACATAAATGAGGGCATAAGTGTGTATGGGGCCATGACAATAAATGAATAGAGAATGGTCCGCCTTTGATTGGCGAAAACCAATTCGAGTGAGGGCTTGAGTGAATTTGTGATACCAATTGCGAGAGGCCTGTCGCAGTCCGTACAAAGATTTTTGTAACTTGCAAACACGGGTATCCTCGTTTTTCAAATATCCTTGCGGGATACGCATATACACATCCTCCGATAAATCACCATGGAGGAAGGCATTATTGACGTCAAGTTGGTGAACCACCCAGTTACGTTTGGCTGCAATGGTTAACAGGCAGCGTACAGTGACAAGTTTGGCAACTGGTGCGAAAGTCTCATGAAAGTCAACGCCCTCAATTTGAGTAAAACCCTTGGCAACCAATCTAGCTTTGTAACGTTCCACATCACCATTTGGTTTATATTTAATTTTATAAACCCATTTAGAACCAACAAGTTTTTTTTCGGGTGGCAATGGAACTAAAACCCAAGTATTATTTTCTTCCAATGCTTTAATCTCCTTTTGCATGGCCTCTCTCCATAAAGGATCTCGTACAGCCTGTGAAAAATGTTTGGGCTCATCACGAGAGGTGATGGCCGCTAAATATGCTTTATGAGTACACGAAATTTTTTCATAATTAATGAATTTTGAAATAGGATATACCGTCGAGTAAACTGAATGAACGGTGCTCCGTGAATGGTCTAAGGATGGTGGCATGTCAGTTTCATAGTCCTGTAGATGTTTAGGAAACTTACGTATCCTTTCTCCTCTTTTTGCATCTTCCAAATTTGTGATTAATGGAGGATGATTAAATGTTTCAGTTTCTGAAGTTTGTGACTCTTGAAGGGATTCTGCAGATGCTTCCAAGTTCCCACGTGGCGTGGTTTGTGGCTGAGTAATTTCTCCAGCTGTTGTGATCCTGCTATTGAGCCGAGAAGCTGCCATATTGTCAACATGAGGTGTTGCTCGACTGTCCATGCCAGATGACTGCCCCTGCGGACTATTTATCTCAAGTGGGGACTGTTGGCTACCATCCAAAGCTGCCCTCTTTTCCTGGAATGACCTGCCACCTAAAGTAGGCTCCAAAAACTGCATGTGATTGTTGGGGTCTGCAATTGAACGGTCATCTAAGGATTTATGTGTGTATGGACGAAATAGTGGGGTATTTAATTGTGAGACGGTAACTTCTTGATGTAATAATTGCTGCAAAACTTTGTCACTGATGGTCCCCAAATCATGTCCCTGGGTATCTCCAATAGTTTTGAAAGGGAAGATTTCTTCAAAAAATGTTACATCCCGAGAGGTGTATATCAGGTGTTTCTCTAAATCAAAAACCCGATAAGCCTTTTGTCCATTTGGATACCCAATAAAAATACACGGACTCCCCCTTTCACCAAATTTATCCTTTTGATTATTATTACGGGCATATACCAAACAACCAAATACCCGTAAATGAGCATAGGTGGGTATTTTACCAAGTAACATTTCATAGGGACTTTTATTTGAAATAATTGGTGAAGGAAGCCTATTTATGATGTAAACGGCAGTCAAGATACATTCTCCTCAAAAATGAATTGGTAATCCGGACTGAAAACGGAGAGCTCTAGCAACTTCCAAAATGTGTCTGTGTTTGCGCTCTACTACGCCATTTTGTTGTGGTGTGTAAGGACATGATGTTTCTAAAATTATTCCGGTGTCCCTATAGTAGTCCAATAAAACATTTGTTTGAAATTCGACACCATTGTCGGCCCTTATATGTTTGACCTGCCGTTCAAATTGGGTTTTTACCATATTGCAAAATTGTATTAACAGTATAGGAACCTCAGACTTATTTTTCATTAGGTATACCCAAACACCTCTCGTAAAATCATCCACTATAGATAAAAAAATATCGTGCACCAGAAATGGATTCATACTTATAGCTGCCCCAAATATCACAGTGTATTAATTCAAAACAACCAGTAGTTTTAATAGTACTGATAGGAAAAGGTAGGCGAGTTTGCTTAGCTCACATGCAGGGATCACAAAAAATGTCATTTCTTTTGAATCCTTTCAGAGAAGATATATATTCTAATTTTTTGTCTGACGCATGCCCCAATCGCCGATGCCACAAGTCTAGACCAGTAGAAACTGACAGTGCCACACTTTGGATTTTAGGGGTTTCCAAATAGTAGAGACCATCACGAAGCTGACCCGTCCCAATCAGGTTCCTCGAGGGTAAGTCCTGCAAAATACAAAAATCACGAAAAAATGTAAGTGTACAATTGAGATCGCTTGTAAGGCGACTGATTGATAATAAATTGCACTGGAACTCAGGAATATATAGAACTCGCTGGAGCCGGAGTCCATTTGATAATATTAAGCTACCAATAGAATGGACCGGTACAGATTCTCCATTTGGAATTTTGACAGGTTGTATGGAGGGGTGAGGCGAAATATCAATAAGCCCATCCTTACTACATGTGATATGTTCTGTTGCTCCAGAATCAATTATCCATGAGCTTAAAGTACCTGCCAAATTTACGTGACCCGCAGAGGGAGAGGATGCATGTGACTGATTTGGTAATTCATTTTTCAAAAGTTTAGCAAGTTGACATAATTGTTCATGAGAGAGACCAAAAGTAGAGCTTAAGGTGTTGTCCATGTGTGCTGCATGAGGAGGAGAACCCCTTTTACTCTCCCTGCCAGTATGTGGGTTTTGAAATTTGTGCTTTTGCCCCTCTCCTTCATGTAAGAAACGTGGGTTTCCAGCAAGACGGAATTTTCCTCCAGTAGTGCGATTGGTTTTAACATTCCAATTTGGTGGGTAGCCTATTCTTTCAAAACATGCTTCGTACGTGTGATTAGTTCGTCCACAATGAGAGCAAGAACGGACTTCCTTCGTGATCGGGCGTCGGCCTAAATCATTCTCCTTTTTTGTTTGAATATGGAATGCTACACCGTCACTGGATGGTTTGCGGGAGGATGCAATAGATATGTGTTGTTCACCTTCGGAAACTAGGTGATATGCAGCAGTAAGTGTTGGGACTGGCCTTGTGGCTAATATTTGAGTTTTGAGATGCCCATACGCATCATCAAGCCCCATCAAAAAATCATAGAGTTGGTCTCTATCCCGAGACTTGGCTATTTGTTTAGAAATATTGCATGAACAACCATCACAAGTGCAACTTGGTGTGGCGTTTATAGACACCATCTCATCCCAAACACGGCGCAACCGGCTAAAGTAAGCCGATATTGACTGTCCATCTTGCCGAATTGCTCCTAGGGAACATCGAAGCTCATAGGCTCGTGGAGCACTTTCCTTCTCGAACCGCTCTTGTAAGTCAACCCATATTTCACGAGCGGTTTTGAACTTGACGCTTTGTCTAAGTTCAATCTCCATGCTACTATTCAACCATGCTTTGACCATGGCGTTTGCCCGTTGCCAATGTGGAAGATAGGGTGATCCGGATTTTGGCATTGGGATGTCACCATTGACAAAACCATACTTATTTTTTGCGTAAAGAGCATTGCTCATTTCATCGAGCCAATCTCCATAGTTTCCATCACGGAGAAGAGTGGTAACGTAAACATCTCCGGGTTCATCGCCGGATTGAATAAAATATGGTGACATTGAATCTATAACAAGTGTGGAAGAATCATGACTAGAATCCTTGGTTTCATCTCCAACAACCATGATTTATGAATATAAATGAAAAATCTTGTGAGAGAGAATACTGGCTAAAAATGTGTTTTTCAGGATTTCGGCTCTGACACCATGATAAATTTAATAGTGACTAATTAGATAAATGTATGTGAGCTATTTCGTATGAAAATGTAAAACTCTCACTTGCTTCTTTATTGAGTATACGTAACATATATATATATATATATATATATATATATATATATAGAGGAATGTTCATGTCAGGCCGGCCTGACGGGCTGCCCCGTCCGGCCGAGCCCGTTTGGGCACCTTCCCGGTGGAATTTTTTGATGAAATTTTTTGAGCATGTTCCTCATCAAGTCTAGTTTGTCCATACCAAATTTCAGCTCAAAATTCGATCGGGAAGGTCGTCAAATGATTTTTGCAAGTTAACTGGTCCGGAATATGTATTTTCCGGGCCAGTTAACTTGCAAAAATCATTTGACAACCTTCCCGATTGAATTTTGAGCTGAAATTTGGTATGGACAAACTAGACTTGATGAGGAACATTCTCAAAAAATTTCATCAAAAAATTCCACCGGGAAGGTGCCCAAACAGGCTCGGCCGGACGGGGCAACCCGTCAGGCCGGCCTGATGAGAAGAGCTCTCTCTATATATATATATATATATATATATATATATATATATATATATATATATTACATTTGGTGCATGCATGCATGATGAGAAGACAAATACAAATGCATGTGGAAGACATTTACATGTGCTTCATGAATGCATGATGGGGTATGTGGCATGTGATATTCACGTTGGAGTGATAGGAGGTCACATTAGGGGTCAATACAAATAATAAATATATTAACATATTCAATAAATCCGTGTCAAATCCATGCCAAAATCTCTGTCAATCCCGTGTTTTTTTGTAGTGCAATTTATACTAAACATTAAAGTTATGGAATTGGGACATTCCATAACTTTTTATACTATACATATGAGACAGTTGCGGATGTAGAATTATAGGACCAGTGCTCGACATTAATCGAACTATGATCGAGTTTTCAGGCTAATACATGAGTATTTACTAATAATTATCCAATATATATATTAGTAAATTCAACCAGAGGTTATATGCCTGTATATATACACTATTGTATTCAACCCATACATACTAAATAGTACCAAATTTAGTATACATTAATAATTACTAGTTCCTAACATAGGGACTAATTATACACATATATTGGCACTGAGTTATCCTTTATACGTAAATATTGACCAAATTATTATTGTCTGATCACATATATTTAAAAATAATTAGTATACGCAATTACATAATTGCGTATGTCTATACATATAGTATTTCGTTCATAGATGATGTAATCTCATAATCGTGTTGCCTACGTGATAGAGTATACATCCAGAAGTATGTATCCAGGGACGGATCCAGGATTTGGAGTGAAGGGGGGCGAAATTTTTCCTTAGTGTAGGAGGCAAAAAAAATTCGCTAGTGTAGCGGGGAAATTTTTTGCCCACTAATGTAGCGGGAATTTTTTTTTCACTAATATAGCGAGATGAAATTTTTTCACTATTGTAGGGCTGCGCGGCTAATTTTTTTTCAAAAAAAAAATCATTAGTACATACACGATAACATTTAAATCTATTACATTTTAAGTTTAGAGAATGAAAAAATAACTTTAATTTTGTAACCGTGAATGCTCTATAAAAAAGTATTGATACATTAAAGCATAAGAAATTGCAAATCAAAGGAAATTTATTTGAAAATAGAAAAGGATATATAACATTTTGTCGAATTATTTGAAGGTAAAAAATTTGAAAGGTAATTAAACATCATTTGATGTCTTTTAAATAACTTATGTCTTGTTTAATTACATGAATCTTATCGGAATAAAGAAATGATTTTTGAATTGTAGTTTTTGTCTACCAAGGAGGGTGTTCATGGGTCACGAGAAGTCTTTTAATATTACAATAGTATGTATGAGATTATTATATTTAGAATAATATTATATATGGTATTGTTAATTCATATATATGGTACATATTATATTTGTATTATTGCTAAAATACGTTAAAGTTTATTATTTATGCAATAAATTGCTTTTAGAAAGTAAGAAGTAAATGAATTGTATAATTTAATGTCAACAAAAATTTATATTTTGGATTCACTTCACATGATTTAAAACTGTTTAACTGGTGTGTCTGATATTTAATATCATTTGTTCTTTTACAAAATTTAAAACTAATTATCTATAAAGATAATCAAATATTACAAAACCTAGGAATTTTTATGTAATAGGTACCCTAAGTCTTAAACTATCTAATTTATTTTAGATCTTACTTCTTTTAAATCTCCAATAAAGTATTACACTATGTAAGACTATATATCAACTTTGAAAACTAAAAGTCAAGGGGGCGAAAACATATATATCAAATTAAAGTATGAAAATTTTATGAAAATACTACATATATAGTAAAAATATTTGAAAGTCCAAGGGGGGCGGTCGCCCCCCCCCCCCCCCTCCCTAAATCCGTCCCTGCATATTATATTTGTATTAATGCTAAAATACGTTAAAGTTTATTATTTATGCAATAACTTGCTATTAGAAAGTAAGAAGTAAATGAATTGTGTAATTTAATGTCAACAAACATTTATATTTTGGATTCACTTCACATGAATTAAAACTGTTTAACTGGTGTGTCTGATATTTAATATCATTTGTTCTTTTACAAAATTTAAACCTAATTATCTATAAAGATAATCAAATATTACAAAACCTAGGATTTTTTATGTAATAGGTACCCTAAGTCTTAAACTATCTAATTTATTTTAGATCTTACTTCTTTTAAATCTCCAATAAAGTATTACACTATGTAAGACTATATATCAACTTTGAAAACTAAAAGTCAAGGGGGGCGAAAACATATATATCAAATTAAAGTATGAAAATTTTATGAAAATACTACATATATAGTAAAAAATCTAAGTAGTATTCGCATCTCTATAGTTTATATTCATGATCTCACAAGTCTTCATCTTCAATTTACCATATCTCGTTCAAAAATCTAAGTGTCTCATTTTTCTTTGCAAAATTTAAATACATTCTTCAAAAAATAAGTCACCGATGATTAACGACTATTTTGAACACTGGAGATAACACCTTATGCAAAAATACACTGAATTGTTCATACAATTCAGTGTTGCAGTACTTTGAAACGTATTCAAATTTTAAGTCAATCTTCGGGTGAGATCATCCGATGAGTCGGTTGATTTAGACACACGAAGATCATCAGACTTGCAATGGTTTTCATATACAAGATACACAATTCTCGTTCACCACTCAAGTCCAAAATTATGATCAACCGAGTGTTTGTATATCTTCAGATACACAAAATTGTGTTTTTTTCTATTCATAATTTTGGACGATGTCGTATTCAAAATTTACACAATTTAAACATACAATTTCGAGTGAATGGAGACTTCGTTCACATAGGGAACCCTTGTGAACGAAGATCATTCTTTACACTAGAAATGAGATCACTGATTGACTTATTATTCACTTCAAGTCAAAAATTGTAGCAAATTATTCATATTCTCCAGTTGGAGAATATACGACTTGTGTATTCATAAATGTTGAGATCATCCGAATTCTAGTCATCCGGAGACTTACAAGTCACGAAAATCAAATCATTTAATCTGTCGAATAACTGAGAATGATCTCATTTCGAGTTACAAATTACAGTTCGAGTGTAGTGGGTTCCCTATGCAAAAATACACAATTTTCATTCACGACTCGGTAATTTTGACACTGATAAGTGAATAGGGAATCCATTGATTTAAAAACTCGAAAACAGGTCTCCAGTATCTTTCACGTTGCAATTACTACTTGATTTAGGATGTTTTTACTTGGACTGTAATTTGCTGGTCTGGTCTGGTCTGGTCTGATCTGGTCTGGTCTAAACTGGTCTGGTCTGGTGTGGTAAGGTCTGGTTTCTTTGTATTTTTATAACTATCCAAGTCTGGTCTGGTCTGGTCTGAACTGGTCTGATCTGGTCTGGACTGGTCTGGGGCAAATTACAGTCCAAGTAAAAACATCTTTAGTTCACAGTGATTCATACTTCTATGTTGACTCAAACTTTTGGATGACTCGGTTGACTGTATTCCCCAAGTCAATACAGTGTTTTCAGACTGTTACATAGACATGGTCAAGCCATTCTTAAATGGAGTTTTCAAAAATGGGATGTCGTATGATACATACACTTGATAATATTTAAATTTCATATTATAGTCACGAAATTTTGAAGCTTACTCTGTTGATTTAGTAAGCCTGAAAACACTCATTCAGGCTTAATAAAAAGAATATACATTTAATCATCCATAAGCATAGAATTGTCGTATTCAAAATTTAATATGAGAACTCGAAATTGTAAATATTTCGAGTCACGAAGATTGACCTAAATTTGATCTGATCATATCTTGATTTAGTAAGCCTGAAAACACTGGAGACTTGTATGTTTTTTTTCTATTCATAATTTAGACTTGAATCGTGAATGAGAATTGTGTATTTTTGCATAGGGAACCCATTGCAACATACATAATAGGGTATAATAATTTCTAAAACACAAAATTCATATATTGAAGACATTCACTAAAAATGAGTCCAAAACTGAATTGTGTACACAATTCTCGTTCACGACTCAAGTCCAAATTATGAATAGAAAACAACTCTCGTTCACGACTCAAGTCCAAAATATGAATAGAAAAAACATACAAGTCTTCGGTGTTTTGAGGCTTACTAAATCAACCGAGTCACGAAGATTGACTTAAATTTTGAATACGACATCGGATGATCTCATTTCGTGTTGCAATGGGTTCCCTATGCAAAAATACACAATTCTCGTTCACGACTCAGGTCCAAAATATGAATAGAAAAAAACATACAAGTCCTGAAAACACTGAAGAAACACTGGAGACTTAGGGGACCCATTGCAACTACTCAAAGAATACCCATTGTCTTCAGTGTTTTCAGTCTTACTAAATCAACCGAGTCACGAAGATTGACTTAAATTTTGAATACGACATCGGATGATCTCATTTCGAGTTGCAATGGGTTCCATATGTGTTTTGAATGTGTTCCGTATTACTAAATTTATGACTAGAGTTGAATATGAGTCAA